TCATCCAGAGCAGACACTTGCGTGTCTCGTAAGACAATAGTGGAGGCTCGCCGCGTGTGCGTGCCTGCCCATGCACCCGTGCACCTATGTCGGTCGGGACACGCGATCCTATTAAATCGACGCACGCGCCGCTCTCCACCCGCCGGATTTAGCAGCCGACTGCGGCTGCAGATCGGGCAGCACCAGCTGGAAGGCATGCGAGAGGTCACCGCCGGTCAGTTTGCATCCCATGCGGAGAGGTGGCTGACCGTAACTTGGATTAAAGGCTCAGCCAGCACTCAGTCAGCCGCCTCTTCTGGAGGGCAGCAGCTGATGTCGGTTACACACGGATGCCGGTGGGAAGTGTTCCACAAACCATTCTGTTTGATCAATAGCCAGCTCCCCTCTGCAAACACCCATTTAATTTTTCCCTGCATCGTATCACTAAGCCTGTGATTCGATTGAAGCTGATAATCAGACGCAAGCACGCAGCAGTATAAAAGCCGGAATCATCACAACGCGTACCAGTTCTTTGTCATAATCTGATGTCTAATACATGAGCCAGACCTAGAAATACACTGTAAATGTAGATGACCGACGCACCAGCTGCATTTGGCAGTCTGTGTTGGAGGCGGTCTCTGTCGGCCACCTCGGCTCTTCTGGGCCGACAGGAGACGGTCGGAGGTCTGGGCCGACAGGAGACGGTCGGAGGTCTGGGCCGACAGGAGACAGCCGGAGGCCTGGGCCGACAGGAGACGGTCGGAGGTCTGGCCGACAGGAGACGGTCGGAGGTCTGGCCGACAGGAGACGGTCGGCTCATCTGGACCGACAGGAGACGGTCGGAGGTCTGACCGACAGTCGCGGTCGCGGTCGCGGCGGGGAGCGGCGTCCGCCGGCGGTGAGCTCAGACGGCATGAGACGGAGTCGGCCGCCCCCCCCCCCCCTCGCCCCCCATCAGGTGCCGCTGGGGCGGGAGGGCGGCTCCCGCTGGTGCGAGAACGGGGCGGGGCAGGGGTTGTGGGCGAGCGAGGAGCGCCAGAGGTGCCCGAGGGTGTCATAACACCTCTGCGTCAACAAACAGTCGGACATTGTAGCGTAAACAATGGTGCCGCCGCGGAGAGAGACATCAATTAATGCGGCGCCGCAAAAATAAACCTGCGGCGGAGACGCCCGCGGCGCTAAGCGCGGCGACAGCGTCGCTAGTTAGCGCGTGTCGCTCAGGGCCACGTCAACAGCTTAGAACACTGGACGACCAACAGCTCAACACTGGACGGGCAACAGTCGAACGCTGGGCAGCCAGCCGCTGAGCACTGGACACTGGACTGAGTAAATAAATGAACATTGAGCACCAAGCATTTGAGCACTGGTCGCTCAACAACTGCAGCCCGCCGCCCCAGCCGGCACCGCCGCCCCAGCCGGCACCGCCACCCAAGCCGGCACCGCCGCCCCAGCCGGCACCGCCGCCCCAGACGGCACCGCCGCCCAAGCTGGCACCGCCGCCCAAGCCGGCACCGCCGCCCAAGCCGGCACCGCCGCCCCAGCCGGCACCGCCGCCCCAGCCGGCACCGCCGCCTAAGCTGGCACCCGCCGCCCCAGCCGGCACCCGCCACCAAGCCGGGCACCGCCGCCCAAGCCGGCACCGCCGCCATCCAGACGCACCGCCGCCTAAGCTGGCACCGCCGCCCCCCAGCCGCACGCCGCCCCAGACGGCACCGCCCGCCCAGCCGGCACCGCCGCCCCAGACGGCACCGCCGCCCCCAGACGGCACCGCCGCCCAGCCGGCACCGCCGCCCCCAGCGCACCGCCGCCCCAGCCGGCACCGCCGCCCCAGACGGCACCGCCCGCCCCAGCCGGCACCGCCGCCCCAGGACGGCACCGCCGCCCAGACGGCACCGCCGCCCCAGCCGGCACCGCCGCCCCAGCCGGCACCGCCGCCCCAGACGGCACCGCCACCCAAGCCGGCACCGCCGCCTAAGCTGGCACCGCCGCCCCAGCCGGCACCGCCACCCAAGCCGGCACCGCCGCCTAAGCTGGCACCGCCGCCCCAGCCGGCACCGCCACCCAAGCTGGCACCGCCGCCGCCCCAACCGGCCGATAACTGTTGCTGCGTATCGCGGATCAGGTGGGCTGCCGTGCTGGCTGTGTTCTACATAGCCGTCTGGACGGAGGAGGGGGAGGGGAGCGGGAACGTGACCCAATTTTCATTAAGAATTCGGCAGTCGGCCGTTTTTTCCCGATGCATGGAAACAGCCAACCGCCTATGCGTTAAGCACACGGTGTGTGCGTAACGAATGGGCGGTTAGCTGTTTTACACGTAAATATCGTGGTCCTGGCGGCCGGCACTGAGTCAGGAGCGGTGGTGTTGGAGTACTAGAGCCGGTGTCTGCTGCCGCGCCCGCGTACACACACCCACACACAACAGGCGCGTGCTTGTCATCTCTGAGGTGGGAGAAGTAAACCGATTGAAGCCGAACGGTCAAAGCTTCGCAATGGTTTAGTCAATGGGAAAAAAATAATAAAGCATTGTCATCAAGTTGGGAATCACGTCTGCTTATTGTCTCGACTACGGTACAACTACGTTCCCGTGTCCGTTTCACACCAAACCCCGCGTACAGCTGCTGCCACCTGGCGACAAAGAGTCGCAGCGGCTCCTAGCGCCGCTGTGACACATGCAGGCGGACGGGGCGTGACGGTGCCCGTGACGAATGTACCAATTCGCCGTGACGGCCACCGCGCGCCGCCGAAGGCGATGAGCGCCTCCCGCGCGGCGCCAGACAGCGACGAGCGCCTCCGCGCGCCGCCGGACAGCGACGAGCGCCTCCGCGCGCCACCGGACAGCGACGAGCGCCTCCCGCGCGCCGACAGCCGCCTCCCGCCACAAAAACGGCGCCACCGGACCGGCCAGCTATCAAGCGCTAATCGCGACGTATATCTTTATACCGGCGCCAGCCACAAAGGCGGCCGCGCAGCAACACACACCGCCCGACGCCGTAACGGCCGGCGCCAGCGGCTAACGGCTACCATCGCCGCTGCGCACCTCCCTCCATGAGCGGCAGCATGAGCGCTTTACGAGGTGGCGCGGTCGCCTCCTCAAAGGCGCGCGGTCGGCCGCTGTCCCCCTGTCCTGAGTTACGGCGCGGAGCGCGGCGCGCGCCCGGCGACGCGCCAGGATCGGCGCCGACGGCCCCGTGACGTCACGCGGCCGTCTCGGGTGACGTCACGACCGTCGGCCTCGGGGGAGTGGCGGCGGCCGCGTTCTGCTCCTCGCCGCACGGGCGCGCGAATTGGGAGCATCTGTCGTTTGCACCTGCGCACCGGAGACCGAACGGCAACAAATCATCGCGCCGACAGGCAGGGCGCGACGCGCGCGAGGCGCCGCGTTCGAGCGCGTGCTCCGGCGTGAGTGCGTGTGGGGTGTTAGCGGCCGCCTGGCTGGAAACACCCGTGCTCAGATGGGACGGTGGCCGACGCGGCGCCACACTATGCCACGCGTTTCCACGCACCGCTCGGAAACGCGCCGCGTGCTAACGCTTCACGCGTCCGGCGAAGACCCGGTACACCATTGTTAAGTCCAGATAGCGGCGTCGATCGCGGATAACAGCGCGGACCCTTCACTAACGCCGCGCGGTCCCGCCTGCCACCCCGCAGCGGCGGCCCTTGCACGGCCGACAAATGCAGCTGCGGTAATGAAAACGGCGATAACCCGCTGCGCGTGTGTGGCTAATTTGTCCCGTATTGCATGTCACGTCCAGGACACCGTCGCAGTGCACGGGCCACCCTCGTCGTATTATGTCCGGCGTCGTGTGACAGGATCCCTCGCCCGTCGCGACGCAGAAACAATGCCCGGGTACAGTCGGACATTGAGATTTAATATGAACAATTCATATTTTAATTAGCCGTCGATTAAGCGACGGCACAAAGGGGGTCATCGTTCAACTTGTGTCCGTGATACCGGCCCTGACGCCTGACCCCTACACAATCGATGCAATCTAGCTGCGGCTCTTTACGAGTTAATGGGCCCGCTACTGGACTTGGCTTGCATCGTATGCGAGCACCGCGCGAAAGGGTGTGCTCGGTTATGGCTTTACTGCTACTGCTGGTTGTAGTACCTGGATCTGGTAGGAAGGTCAGCAAGAGGGAGATAACCAGAGAGAAAGAGTGGCAGTACGAGAGGGAGAAAGAAAAGGAAAGAGGGTAGAGAGGTCGGGGATTCGGGAGATTAGTAACATCAAGAAATAAAGATGACTTGTGCATATGCCGAAAGAAGGGGGAGGGGTAAAAAAAGGACAAAAAGCGACGAAGTTTCAAGTCGCAAGCGTACGCTTGCGACCAGGCCGATCTACACAAAACCTGGGCAAGGCAAAACTAAAGTTTGCCATTTCGTTCAGTTATGGAGACTCAAAAACCATCCCAATGTTTCATTTTGCCGTGAGCAAGAACCCAAACCGTTGCGTTTCGTTGGGTTCGCCAAGTGGATCGCTAGATGCACTGTCAGGGATAACTTTCACCTGGAAGTTTCCAGTGGTTTCTGATAGTAGTAATTTGATGCCTGGTTCTGTCAAAATGTGGCGTTCAATTGGCGCGTGTTCTCAATGCAGTTGAAGTCAGAGCTGTAGTTAGGAGGCCGAACAGAACGCGTTGTTAAATAACCTGTTAATTATTTGACGTTGATACGCGCAGGATGTCAACATAAAAGCGCCACGCCGTCAAATTCTTGTGGCGCTAAAAGCACTCACCTACAAATTACGATCTTACCTGCAGATCTCACCTAGCTTCGACTTTACGACCGTACCTACGGCTCCCTGTCAAACGGCCCAACCTGAGTGCGGCAACGCCCAATGCACCTGAGCCTAATCAGGAGACTAACGCATCCTGAGACCAATCCGCTCACAAACCCCAGTGCTGACTGCATGAATGGTGCAAATATGTACGAAGCCCGTGTCGATTGACGCAGTGCCCAGCAAGCTGGGACAATCGCTGCGGCTTGCCGCGCCGGGGCGGTTCGCCCGCCGTGGACTGACCTTGCCTTGCTCCTGCATCTGCTTGAGGTAAATCTCGCGCTTCTTGTCCTTGCAGCGCTTATTCTGGAACCAGACTCGGATGACCCGCGGGCTCAGCCCGGTCATCTCCACCAGCTGCTCCTTCATCAGGGCGTCGGGCCGCGGGTTGGCGTTGTAGCACGTGCGCAGCGTGTGGAGCTGCTTCTCGTTCAGCACGGTCCGCACACGCGTCGTCTTGCTGTCGCCCGTTTTGCGTTCCCGTTTGCCGGAGCTGGGCACGTCCGTGCTGTCAGCGGAGGGGGATGGCACTGCGGAGACGCAGAGACGCCGTGAGAGCTTGGCTGGTGGATGGAGGGAGACGGCACTGCGGAGACGCAGAAACACGGTCACGGACCTTACATGAGGAGAGGGCAGGCGGCATTGCCGGAGAGCGGCCACAGCGATGGGTGAGCGGTGAATGAGATCTCCAGTGGTGATTGTACTAATCTCGCACACGTGCGCGCAAGTTATGCTGAACGATACGGTGTCTCACGCGTTGGAACATCCTCCCCATGGCACCCCAAACAGCGGCAGTTCGGGGGACAGAGTCGAGGGGAAACTGAGACACAGGCAGAGACTGATGCATAAAGGGAAACAGAGCTTCTGGGGAACAGAGTCACATCCAAGGAGAAGGGACTGAGGGAGACGGAGCTGTGGAAGAACAGAAGCGTGACGACTGGGAGTCGGCAATATCTGGAAAGACCACGAACGAGCTGGTGTCACAAATGCAGGGCCACCATCTCCGTGACGTGATATATGGACAGCGTATACTGCAGCATAGCGAGACAGCTTCAGGACCGGGGCTGATACATGAAGATAGCCGGTGTTGCGGAAGAGCGGAGACACGGCGACGGACTCATGCAAAGCGGGGGACGGGGCTGGCGAGAGTCAGAGACGTGGTCGGGGGCTTATGTCTATATGAAGGGTAGACTGGACTGTGGAGGAGGGGTGAGGGGATGACTGAGGGACTGACACCCACAGGGAGACGGGTCTGTGGGGGACGGGGACGCGGTGAGGGACTGGCGAATGAAGGGGTGTGGACTGCGGGAAACACAGACGAGTCCGGGGATGCGTGCAGGAGGGGAGCCGGTACAGTGCATGTGTGTAAATAGGATATGCGCAATCATCTACGCACATGCGCTCAAACCGGCTGATTTGCGCAGAGTGGAAGAGGGAAACCGTGAGGAACTCATACACGAAGGGATGCTCCACTGTTAACATGCCGGCAGCGGTTTGAACGACCACACGCATACAGATTTACGAGAAGACAGGCCGTCAGATACTAATATTCATCAACGATATTTCAGATACAACTACTCCAACGCGAAAATAAATATCGCTCTCAACAAATTCGGCACGTTCTGAATGTTTACCCATACCCACGAGGCCTCTTAATGCATTGTGTGGTGTGCCTATACTCACGCCAGAACACCACACACCGGACAACAAGCTGCATCAGTGATGTCCTCGCGCGCCGACACTGGTGAGTGATTCCGTCAAGCACCAAAGACCGCCCAGAGCAGCCCGAAGCGGAAAGAGCTGCTCTGGCCCGGCCACCAGCAGCGGCCAGCGATGACACCAGAGCCGCGATCCTGCGGTGCGGTGGGCCTGTACTGCACGCCCAGCGGGCGGCAACCCGATCGTGCGTATCAAGTAGCCCGGTCTGATGCCGCGGTGACGCGGCCTGAGTCATGCGACAGCTCGCGCGGGCCGTGTAGGGCGTCAGGACCGCGCCAGCTGACCGTATCGGCCGTCGGGAACACACGGCGTCGGCCGGCCGGCGGCGGCCGCCGACGCTTGGCACGTGATGCTGCCGATTTGACTGGACGCGACGCCGGCGGCGCCTCTGATGTGCGCGGATCTGAGGCGCCGCTGCGGGCGGCAGTGCCGGCCCACGTGTGAGGGCAGGGGTCAGTGCCGGCGCTGCGCCGGTGGAGGGCCGTCGGTCAAGCCGCCGCGTGACGTATGTTGAGACCAGTCGTGCGCTCGATTAGTGCAAGATTCAAAGTGAGATTACGAAGCGTAGATGATTTGTGTCGTTTTATTAGCACGTAGGCTGAGGGCATATTCTCACCCACCGTTTGCGAAAGACCGCATTTTGTGATTTCCGTTTCTAACGGTAGAACCAATGTGTTGACATATATTTGTTTCACGACATTCCGCACCTGTCCTCGTTTGCTTCTGCTTACAACCATTTGACCTACCGCACCACAGCTGTCTTGCAGCGACCAAGAGTGACAAAAACAAAAAAAAACATTATGGCATAAACTACATGACCTCACGTAGGATTGTTGGTGTCCGAATGTCGGCGAACGATGAAAATGATCGGGCGGCAAAGATTGCACGTCACAGCCGTAGGCGCTATGATAGCTGATAGCTGATGAGTGCAATATTCTAAGTGAGATTACGAAGCGTATATTATTTGTGTCGTTTTATCAGCACATAGGCTGAGGGCAAGATTCTCGCCTACAGCTCATAAAGGAAGTATTATAAAGTGGAGCTATACGTACTATATATATGGAGATATACTTAACATACTACACTTGTGGAGATATACCTATGTCTCCACATATATAACTATATCTCCATTCCCCTGTTTTTTCCGAGGAATAAGGCTAATTAATACTGCTGCCTTAGCTATGACAGCTGGTTTAATCGAACGCACACATAGTGAACCGCCGTGCGTGCTTGCGAGGGCTAGATAACCCCTAGTTACAAGGGAATCCTCCCGCCGGAGCAGAGTTCGACAAGAATCAGCCGATCTTGAAATACAAGGGCAAAAGCTTGCTACGTTAATGGGCGTTGGACGATCAGCCGTGGGAAATGCAATTGAAACCGCCAACAAATCCGGAGGTCAGCGTAGTTTTGTAATGAGCATAGCACACTGATATTGCTCTGTTTGCACACGAACCACGGCTGTTGTCGAAAGTGCAGCATGAGCGAAGAACAAAAGGGGAGATCCTCTAGCCTTTGCCCGATGACGTACGTTGGAAGAGATTATGTCTTCACGGCGGCTCTCTATGCCAGTGAAAAATTGATAACGAAAGCTTAAACGTTGCAACATATCCCTGACGGACAACCACATCACAGGGCCCCTTACACATCTGCCTGTTTCTGCACCAACGGCCCCTACCAAGCTGCTCATCAAAGGGCCCCTAAGTTACACGTCAATGCGTGCGGCAGCCGACTCCAGTTTTCCATCCACGGATCTCTCCTCAGCTGGCGGGTCAGTTCCCGCTGATGGACAGCCTCAGAACAAAACATCCCAGTGACGTCATCAGCGGCCCACAAGCATGACGTCACTGGGAAGCGGCGTTACCGAGGCCCCTCTGCCAGCGCACCGCATGGCGGGGGAGGGGAGACGCGCAGCGGTGTGAGGAGACACTGGTACACTGCGGCCTCAGGGGAAGGCCCGCGGCGCTGTGAGGAGACACTGGTACACTGCGGCCTCAGGGGAAGACCCGCGGCGCTGTGAGGAGACACTGGTACACTGAGGCCTCAGGGGAAGGCCCGCGGCGGTGTGAGGAGACACTGGTACACTGCGGCCTCAGGGGAAGGCCCGCGGCGCTGTGAGGAGACACTGGTACACTGAGGCCTCAGGGGAAGGCCCGCGGCGCTGTGAGGAGACACTGGTACACTGAGGCCTCAGGGGAAGGCCCGCGGCGCTGTGAGGAGACACTGGTACACTGCGGCCTCAGGGGAAGGCCCGCGGCGCTGTGAGGAGACACTGGTACACTGAGGCCTCAGGGGAAGGCCCGCGGCGGTGTGAGGAGACACTGGTACACTGCGGCCTCAGGGGAAGGCCCGCGGCGCTGTGAGGAGACACTGGTACACTGCGGCCTCAGGGGAAGGCCCGCGGCGGTGTGAGGAGACGCTGGTACACTGCGGCCTCAGGGGAAGGCCCGCGGCGCTGTGAGGAGACACTGGTACACTGAGGCCTCAGGGGAAGGCCCGCGGCGCTGTGAGGAGACACTGGTACACTGCGGCCTCAGGGGAAGGCCCGCGGCGCTGTGAGGAGACACTGGTACACTGCGGCCTCAGGGGAAGGCCCGCGGCGGTGTGAGGAGACACTGGTACACTGCGGCCTCAGGGGAAGGCCCGCGGCGCTGTGAGGAGACACTGGTACACTGAGGCCTCAGGGGAAGGCCCGCGGCGGTGTGAGCAGTACGTGGGTACGCGGAGGGTTCAAGTAAGACTTCATGCCCTAGCTTAAAAAGGCTACGGATACTTAGGGAAAGATATGGTGGCTGCGCTGCATGTCATGTTAGTTGTCAGAAGTTCTGTTTCGAAGTACACCCGTCCTCCACAATCATGCCCTGGAAGCTGAGGAGCAGCCTTGGAACGATTTTAACAGCCGGTGAAGCTAAAAAACGCATCTGGACATAAACATGGCATCCCCAAAAATCCAAGTAGGCTGTTAAACTTAACCAAAATTTGGTATTTGGTATTAACTATAACCTTTTTTAATTCCACTTGTATGCTACGTGAATGTTTTGAGGGAGACTCCATTTGTAGAAAACCAATCCTCCAGTGCACTTGTGTGGTAGCCAGCTAGAAGTCCCAGATATTTTGCTAGCAAGCCCATCAAACATGGATTCCCCAGTGCCAGCCGTGCACTGCAACCTGCAGTTCGTGACGATGTCCCATTTGCACACTATGCCAACTACCGAGGATCGAATGGGCCCTGGTCTAAATGATTACATCCGACCATACACGACTTGGGCGTTGAGGCGCCGACCCGGCCAGGACGGCAGCTGCCGTATCATCTCCATAAACGTGGCGCCATGTATTGCCAGCCGACCGCCTTATGCATGTAGACCAAGGACAGGTCGCGAAAACGCAGCCCGCCGACCCGGACGCGCACGCCACCAAGACGCGCCGTGGCGGCTCGCGGGCCGACATCCGGCCGGAGATGGGGTGTGCCCGCTCCCGGCGCGCACGAGCGCCCAACTCCGCATCGCGCCGGCGACCGCAGACGTCGCCTTCACCGGTGACAGCGCGTCCGCGCCGCCCGGCGACCAGCGGCGCAGCCACATCCAGTCACGCACTGGACGTACCGGCGCCACATTGCTTAAACATGATTCCAGCGGCGGGCCGGAGCCCGGGTCGGCGCGCGCGGTCCCACGGTCGCGCGGCGGCATTTCCCGTCAAGCGGCGACATGCTGGAGCCGGCGGTTAATTGTCGTGCGGCGGGCGGCGGCGCCGCTCCCCTGGGGCTGATTTCACCGGCCGACGTCGCGCCGTCCGGGGAGGACAGCTCGTGCGTCAC